AGGAACTTAAGGAAAAATTTCTTGACAGTGAGGGTGACAGAGCACTGGAACAGGCTGCCCAGAGAGGTTGTGGAGTCTCCTTCTCTGGAGATCTTCAAAACCCGCTTGGATGCAGTCCTGTGCCACGTGCTCTAGGTGTCCCTGCGTATGCAGGGGGTTTGGACTAGATGATCTCTAGAGGTCCCTTCCAACCCTAAGCATTCTATGATTCTATGATTCTATTCTATGATTCTATGATTCTCTCTGTAGTGAGCAATGTTAGTTCATCAATCCCTCAGCTGAATCCCTCCCTTCCCACTTGACCAGTTGGGAGGTTTTTTTGATGGGAGTGAACTAAGGCAAAGATACCTCCTCTCATGCAGCCCTCAAGTGCTTTTCATAACTCCTCTACCTAGTTCTCCGGAGAAATCGATGAAAAGCTCCTTAATCTGTTTGGGATAATGTGACAAGTGCCTTAAATGACAAACATGAGTACTAGGGGGTCACTTCAGTACTGCCCTGAAATTTAATCACATGGAAAAGAAAATATTGAATACCTTTTAACTCACCTTGGGTACACATATTAGTAATTGACAGTGTCTAGACAGATGGTGATCTGGAAAATAAAGTCTGGGAAAAATAAACATAAAGTTATTAAAGTCAGCTGCATTTCCCAGTGGTAACAAAGTAGAAAGATGTGAGGGTGGGGAGAGAGTTTTTTTTTTTTTTAACCTTCTATAGCATCTGACAACTGTTGTTGCCAGCAGCTCCATTTGGAACCTGGGCCCCTTTTAAATGTCCTTTTAAAAAAGATTTTACATTTAAAAAGTGTGTAGAACCTGAAAAACTGAAAAAAAAAAGAAAAAAAAAAGGAAATCTAATGATAAGATGAGTATTTGTCTGGGTATGTGCAAAACAGTGAATCCTGTTTTTCTTCTTTTCAAGGGACTCTGATTTAGAGAGCTTTTTATGAGATCGAGTTCATGTACAGGATCACAAGCATCCCTATTTTCTGTAGTTCCCTGGGGCGAACAAGCCATTATGGGGCACACTGTTGATCAGATGGTGGTCTCTGAGCTTTGGGGTAACATTATTTACATTTACCCCAACATTTGGGGTAACATCTTATGCTTAA